ACCTTTTAAAGAGAGAAGAATCCGATGGAAGTTGCAAGTAAGTGTGTCCTCTGTCGTGATCTTCAGACCTTGCTATCATTTATGTAGCATTTGGGCAAGTAAAGGTGCGTTTCACATTGAATGGGATGAGTGAGCTTGGCTTATGCAATGGATCCACAATCCCCTCCCAAAACCTGAGTGATTAGCAAACACAAAATGAACTGCTTTTTAGTGTCTCAATTGAGCTCCAGTCTTGTTGCATTATCAAAACAGCCCCAGTCAAAGTCACAAATGTAAGCTTTATGATTGTGATTATGGGGTACTTTCCCTTCTCAATCCAACTCACCTTCTTTGTAACTGTTAACGTGTTCATCTATGCCATCCCTCTCAAATGCCATGTACACTTTTTCTTATCAAGTTGCACCCACAGCACCTCAGGCAGTCAGTTCTGTTCCTGCTTCATTATTGTTACATGCAGAATTATAGAGTCATAGTCATAGACTCAAACAGCACAGAATCAGATCCTTCGGTCCAACCAATCCACGCCGATCATAATCCCAAACTAAACTGGTCCCACCTACCTGCATTTGGCCCATATTCCTCCAGACATTTCTTATTCATGTACTTATCCAAATGTCTTTGAAACATTGTAACTTTACCCACACCCACCACTTCCTCTGGAAGTTCATTCCACACTCTGTATAAGAAAAAAAGATGCCCTCATATCATTTTTTAAAATTTTTCTCCTCTCTCCTTAAAAATATGCTCCCTAGTCTTGAAATTCCTTCATCCTTGGAAAAGACACCTGCCATTCACCTTAACTATACCCTTCAAGAGTTTATAAACCTCTGAGGTCACCCGTCATTCTCCTCCCCTCCAGTGAAAAATGTCACAGTCTATCCAGCCTCTCCTCATAACCCAAAACTTCAATTCCCGGAAACATCCTGGTAAATCTTTTCTGAACCCTCTCCAGCTTAATAATGTCCTTCCCATAACAGGGCGACCAGAACTGGACACAATACTCCAGACGAGGCCTCACTAACATCCCATAAAACATCAACATGACATCCCAACTCCTATTCTCAAAGGTCTGAGCAATAAGGGCAACCGTGCTAAACACCTTCTTAACCACCCTATCTACCTGTGATGCAAATTCCACAGGATTATGTATCTGAACCGCTGAGTTTCTCTGTTCTACAACACTACCAAGATCCTACAATTAATTGTATAAGTCCTGCCTTTGTTTATTTTACTAAAATGCAATAGCTGTCATCCAAATTAAACTCCATCTGCCACTTCTCAGCCCATTGACCTAATTCATCAAAATCTCTTTGTAATCTTAGATAACCTTCTTCACTGTCCACTATATCAGCAATTTTGGTGTCATCTACACACTTACTAACCATGCCTTCTATATTCTAATCTTAATCATTTATACAGATGACAAACAAAAATGGACCCAGCACTGATTCCTGTGGAACACTGCTGGTCACAGGCCTCCAGTTCAATAAGCAACTCTCTACCACCCTCCTCTGTCTCCTACCATAAAGCCAATTTTGTGTGCAATTGGCAAGCTCTCCTTGAATCCCATGTGATCTAACCCTACTAATTAGTCTACCACGTGGAACCTTGTCAAAGGCTTTGGTAAAGTCCAAGTATACAATGTCTACAGCTCTGCCCTCTTTAATCTTATTGGTTACTTCCTCAAGCTCAATTAAGTTTGTTCATCGCGCATCTTGTTCCTCAGTTATGTGGTATGTGGCTTGAAGGGGAATGCCAGGTGCTGGTGTTCCTATGTATTTGTTTCCTTGCCATTCCAATTGTAAATGTTGTGTGTTTGGAAGGTGCTGTCAAAGGAAATTTGGCAAGTTCCTGCAATGCATTTTGCAGATGGTACATGTTCCTGCCACTGTGTCTCTGGAGAATGAATATTTAGGTCGGTGGGTGGGATGCCAATCAAGATGGTGTTGAGTTTCTTGAGCTGTTGGATCTGTACTCATCCAGGCAAGTGGGGGTATTCCAAGACATTTCCTGGCATGTATCTTATGGATAGTTGAACAGGGGAATCAGGAGGTCACTTACTGCAGGATTCCTAACCTCTGATCTGTTCTTGTAGCCACAGTTTTAAATAGCTGGAGCAGTTCACTTTCTGGTCTGAGGGTGTTGACAGTGGGGGAATCAGTGATGGTAATGCCATTGAATTTCAAGAGGAGATGATTAGATACTCTCTTGTTGGAGATGGTTATTGCCTGGCACTTGTGTGGTGCGAATGTTACTTGCCACTTGTCAGCCCAAGTCTGGATATTTGTTCAGGTTTTGTTGCATATGGATATTGATTGCTTCAATGTCTGAGGAGATAGAAACGGTGCAGAACGTTGTGTAATCATCAGCAAACATCTCTACTTTGGCCATTTAGTACAGATCACTCTTTAAACTTACAATGTGCTTTCCCTTATAATTAACAT